GCCGGTAACGAGATTGAACTAGGTATGATGATACCGACGATCGAATCTTGGGCAAGTAACATACCGATGACAAAGGGAACAACATATGTTGTTATGCGGTTTAACCGATAAATATCTTCGGAGAATATGTAGGAGCCAATATGAGCATCCAGGTTCCGCTATTGGCTATGTATCGGAGATGTGCCTCGATCATGTCTACATAGTTGTCGAACCCGTAGGGTTCGCACGCTTAACATTCGATGACGATTTGTATTATGGGTTATGTGTTTTGATGACATAAGTTTGTTTGGAGTCCCGGATGAGATCACGGACATGACGAGGAGTCTCAAAATGATTGAGACGTAAAAATCGATATATTGGAAGGCTATATTCGAACATCAGAAAGGTTCTGAGTGATTCGGGTATTTTTCTGAGTACAAGGGAGTTACGAGAATTCACCGGGAGAAGTAATGGGCCTTATTGGGCCATACGGAAATACAGGAGGTAGGCCAAGGGGAGGTGCCACACGCCTCCCCCCATTGGTCCGAATTGGACTAGGGGAAGGGGGTGGCACCCCCTTGCCCTTTCCTACTCCCTCTCTCCTTCCTTCTCTCCTATTCCTAAAAGGGAAAGGATTCCTACTAGGACTTGGAAGTCCTAGTAGGACTCCATACACTTGGCGCACCCCTAGGGGGCCGGCCTCTCTCCCTCCCTCCTTTATATACGGGGGCAGGGGGCACCCCAAAGACACACAGATTGATCTTTTAGCCATGTGCGGTGCCCCCACCCACAGTTTTCCACCTCGGTCATATCGTCGTAGTGCTTAGGTGTAGCCCTGCACCGGTAACTTCATCATCACCATCACCACGCCGTCGTGCTCACCGAACTCTCCCTCAGCCTTAGCTAGATCTAGAGTTCGAGGGACGTCACCGAGCTGAACGTGTGCTGATCGCAGAGGTGCCGCGTGTTCGGTACTTGATCGGTTGGATCGCGAAGACGTTCGACTACATCAACCGTTTTACATAACGCTTCCGCTTTCG